TTAATTATAATTCGTATGTATTTAGAAATAAAATTATTATGCACATGGGAATGGAAAATCTTCCAGTTTTTATATTCGGTGCTCGTTTAAACGTAACAAATAAATGCTAAGCAATAAAAAACCTATCGTGTTAAAACTCAATTTTATGGAAATTATCAAATAATCCAAATGCTGAACTGTTTATTTACACAATCTTCAAAACTGCAGGTAATTTCAGTTTAAAGTCATTAATTGGGCTATACTGCATGTCTGTCCGTCCGAATAGAAACTTGTAGTATTTTAGCTGCGCAAGTTTCAATTACTTCAATTCACACATGGAATAACCAAGTCGTCGCAGCTGCAATTAACATTGCCACGAGGCTGTGATGATGCCGACATATCTGTCAATGGCAGTGACTGCGGAAATAAAAGGTGCAATACTAAAAGGTGTTATTTTTCAGTGTGGAGTTGGTTTTATTATTATGGATGACATGTCTTTTGCCGCAGTGCTGATTATTGATTGAACAATACTGCAAAATTGCATCTTTCCCCATCGGATGAAGCATCCACTTAATTCGAAACATTTTTTGGACTCCACAGTTTTATAAAATTGGACAGTCAAACTGGACAGTCAATCATTCACAATCCAATTAAATATGCATGGGAGTGTTGTTTTAAAATTGAAACTCTATTGACAAATTGTCAATTGCTTAACGTGCTGGGAATATTCAATAACAAAATGCATTGAACATTTTAATTTTAAACTATTTATTAAGAGTATAAAATTTTCACTATAATGAAATGTAATTTCGAAAAACATATTTTTCATTTAAATCAAATATTCTGCAATTATTTAGATATTGTTATCATGATGCTAAATGATACATAATGTTCTTCTCTCTAAACTAACTTCATAGGGGACAACATTAATGTAGGTTTTCTATAATATCGAAATATGAAATATCTTTTCTTTTCTTTTTTTTTCTTTTCTTTTGTTTTCTTTTTTCTCTTTTCCTTTCTTTAATTTTTTTTTTCTTTTTTGTTTTCTTCCTTTGTTTTCTTTCTGTTCTTTTCTTTTCTTTTCTTTTCTTTTCTTTTCTTTTCTTTTCTTTTCTTTTCTTTTCTTTTCTTTTCTTTCCATTTCTCTTCTTTTCTTTTCTTTTCTTTTCTTTTCTTTTCTTTTCTCTTCTTTTCTTTTCACTTCTTTGCTTTTCTTTTCTTTTCTTTTCTTTTATAACTATGTTTTTTTGTGTATATTTTAGGCCATGGCTATGTATGCAATAAGTGTGTTGTGATTACTACTGATTCTTCATTATTAAAAATCCCACTGGTACCAGCATATCCCCAAAAAATGTGAAACGTTAAATATGAAAATATAATACTATATAGATTTGTGGTATATTTCGCGCGAACTGTCTTAAATTAAGATCAATTTGTGTAAATGGAGATGGTAGTCAAGTATTCATATTATCCCTACCGGAGACAACCATACCTTATTTAGTTATATTCTGCATGTTACATGTTCGCTTTGTATCTGTGTCACGGACTTAAATTCACCAAGAATAGATTTTTGTGTACGCATATTTATATAGATAGATATTGATTTATCCAGCAATAAAAAATGGGACTCATCCTGTGGCGTAACTAGAGGGAAGCGACTGGAAGCAACGCTTTCGGGCCCCGAATGTAGGGGGCCCCAATTTAAATTTATGTATTCATTGTATTTATTTTTAATAAATTCTCAAAAGTGGGACGAAACGTTTTTTGTTGGAATAACTCCATATTGCACTTACTCCATATTGCATTTTATAAAAGGTACTTAAATTTTAAATTTAAAGTACATAATATGTATGTACTTCAAATAAAATGTTAAACCTATTTATAAAATAAAAAAGTTTTTCTAAGAAAAATATGTTTATTAATCGAGAGTTGATATGGAAGCTATATCTAGATTTAAACCCATTTGAAAATAATTTTGTACGTTGTCTTATGCAAATATCAGTATAGTATATACCAAATTCCATTCGAATACCTTTATTAAAAACGGAGAAACCTCATATCCGATTGTTAAGTTTATATCGCAGCTATAAGAAATAGGCGTCCAATTTTAATCATATCAAATTGTTAAATGGGAATTTTTAGTCGAAATGTTTTTTTTAAATTTAATTAATAAGGGAGTGTGGTGTAATGAACTGAAATTTTTTTAATATAAACAAAAAATCGATGAAAAGTAGTAAAATTTGCTGTTGCTGTAGGTTAATAGTAATGTAAGCCTCTTTACTTTACTCTCGCAAGCATTCAGTGTTCAAATAAACTCATATACATAAAAAATAATATATGTATATGTATATGTAGTGATAATATATGTATTCCAATATATATATATATTCCCAATTCCTCTAAAATAAAAAAATAAAGAAAGTGAATTTCATCAGTGTACGAATTTCAGTTCATTTTCTTAAGATCTCTTTTTTACATAGACAAGCAGTCACAAAAGTCTACTAAATAAATATTCAAAATATTTAACTTTCAACTTTAAAAAAACATAAGAGTTTAAGAGGACGTGTATTAGACATTTGTAGAGTTGAGCTGTGAAATTTTTTAGGTGACTGAGTCGCTTTTGGGCTCCTCTGTGTCCGGAATTTTTTCAGAAGACGGTTTAGGATTCTCTACAACCTCGTCCAGAATCTTATTTACACGCTTAAGATAGTTTTCCTTGGAACGCTTTAAATACAAAATAATTTACAAATAATAATTTCCATTTAACTTTAAGAAATCAATTACTGAACTTACGTCCTCCAACAACTTTTCAAGTTCCTCATGTACCGGATACGGACCAAAGTGACTAACTCTCAATCTACTTATGAAATTGTTTTTATATTATATAGAAAAATAAGACATGACTTACGGTTGGTAAGAAACCAAACGATTAGTTAGCTTCCCCAATTGATATATAATAGCTTGAACAATAGACATGTTTCCAAGAAAACCAATAACAATTTTAGCAAATTTTCCAAATATTATTTATTTGTTTTCAGAGAACTTTTTTTGTAACAAATTTGAATTAACATGAATTTCCTCAAAACTTAATTATCAAAAAATCTATGCTTGCTGTGAAGAATTTCAATGCGTGTTCGAAAAAATTTGCTTTGGTGAAATTTGTTTATCTTCAGATATTCCAAAATGACATAAAGTTCCTTGTATGGTGAACAGTGGCGGCACTTACAGCATAAGCTTCGGTGAACATTAGGGACAAAATACGCTCCGTATATCATTCTACCGTATGAGCGTTTGTGAAATGATGCCAGCCAATCGCTCAATCGACAGAGTAATAGCATTGAGCGATATTTATTTTTAGTTTGCACCAGGTCTAAAGCGAAAACAAAGACATACAATGGGGCCAAACTGTTAGAATTTCATCGCATACTAATTGTGAAACGTTTGGAGCTGTTATTCCTCCGTTTAAACTAATCGCACGGCACCGCTGCGTTCTTTTTTCATTGTTAAAATGGTTGAGTTGCGGCAACGAGCGTTTTTTTTCTACTGTCGTGCACAGGGTCTTAAGGTCCAACGTTTTTTATTTATAATAGAGGTTTGAAATTATTTGTCAAATTTCTGCAGGAAAATTAAGAATAGTCTAAATACAAGGTCTATAAAGTTTAATTTTTAAAAGATAGTAAAAAAATATTTCACTATTAAGCACATCAATTAACTTTCGTGCCACTTTATTTTAATTGTCTCTGTTTGGAAAACAATAAGTGTTTACACTGCGTATCGCACTGTTTACACTGCGTAGTTAATAAATTTTAGCGTTTTGTCAAAAAAAGATTTGTGTGCTGCTCAAAAGTAACCCAAATCTATAAAACTAGAAAAAAAAAAATTTTAAAAATTAAACGATATTTGCAGAAACGCAAAACTTATTTTAAGCAACCAATTTCAAACTTTTTGTTTTTGTTCCTCTTCCGCTTCTCGACGTATCTATAAATATTCTAAAATTCTATTATCGTTTATGTTGCTTGTAAGTAACCCAGATCCGTATTCAACGAGCAGTTTGCAATCCATTCATCACAATTAATCCTACTTCTCTGAATGCAATATGTGCAGAGAAAGAAGTTAATGATGATTCGTAATTGATTTGTTGGCATATTGACGGAATATATTTTACTAAATATAAAATTAAATATAAATAAATATTTAACTATATGTAATATATCTAGATTTTGGGTAAAACTCTTAAGTAAAAAAAAAATTTTTTTTTATTTAAATAAAGTGAAGTATACGGCATTTTAGAAATGCCATTTACGAGTGACCTCTAGGGCAAAACAGTATTTTCTGTAAGAAATCAAATTTCTTTGAAACTATATTTAAAGAACAAAGTCATGGATATTCAATAATGTGGTTTACAACATATCGATTTAATCCATTAAACTAAATTGAGTGATCAATATGTATGAGAATCATTGATGACATTTTGCCGAAAACGTCTTCAATGACATTTTAACTGCATGTCTTGTATGCCATCCGTATTCAAATAATAATTTCTTTTCAACGCAATCCAGTGCAATAGACACTGTAATCGCACAAAACAGGATAAGCAGTTAATAACCATCAACTCTTGTCGTGTGAATAGCTTATTGCTTCCGTATAAGCAATATTTTTGCGTTATCCAATATAAGATTTTTTTTCACTACATGAGCATTAATAATTTGTTTAATTGATTGTTATATTTATATACAGTTGTAATAAAACATATATTAAAAAAATGTTTGTATCATTATATTATGCCATCCGATTTTATTTTATTTACTAATTGACTATATTATACTTGTAAATAATTTATTTCTATTTTATTTCTACTTTTGACGCTGTTTGTAAGTCATGTTTACAATATCTTATGTATTTAAATATGATTATATATCTAGCTATGCATCTGTCAAATTTTAACCCATCTTAGTTTACTTGGAAATATTTGAACTCTGTCAGAAAATTTTCCTAACATTTAAATTTTTTATTCAGGAATAAATTGTAATATTCTGGTGTGCGCATTATGAATCTATAGAGTTAAAGTTGTGTTTTTAATTCATATTGCTAACAGATACATAAATGGCTGGTTAACTCTTTTCAAAATTATAAACACCAAGTACTTTTTTTCCGAAACGATTCTTATTATTTCCACAAGAGATCCAATATAAAAAAAAATTCGCAGGTATGTCAAATTTTATGTTTTATTTGTATATTTTGCAAATCTCATAAAGAATAAAAGTGTTGATTGGAAATTAAAATCTGAATTCTTTCAGAAATATAAAAAAGATATATAGCAAGAGAAATAGGTCGGTAAGGGTGTAGCGAAAGGGTGCTTAAGTAATACGGGTACCTTAAGTAATATTTTATAGTGCAAAGAAATTGCATATGGGCGTGTATATATGCAAGCAGCAATTTTTAATAATCTTCTGATTTAAATGTGATCATCTGCTAAAATAACAGATTATAATTAATTATTTAATTTCAATAAGCTTATTTTTTGCTTATCGGCTTTTAGGATTATTAATAATATTGTTGTTGTTTTAGTAATAACAATTGCCCACCCTTTTCTCTGCTTCGTTTGTTCACTACGTCCATGTACTGTTATTATTTAAAAATCTGATGTTCAGTTAATTTATTATAAATTACGATAATAATACATCATTTTGCAATATCATTTTAATTGAAGGGTTTTACATACACGTGCGAAATTTTTTTTTGCAAACTTACTGTGAAAATTTCACTTTTATTTCGAATATTGTGATGTTCACACCAACGCTTGATTTAACTTGTTATTGATATTTACGTTAATGTTTTAAGATGTTAACTATTTAATTATTTTGATGATTATCTTATTTCATATTAAACATATCATATCCAATAGTAAAACAGAATATTAAATATAAATTTACATGCAAAACTACAGCATATAATAATAAATGACTAGCAATATTTTATAATATATAATGGATATACATTATGAATATTTAAATAAATTTAATAAATTTAATTTTTAAATCTATTTATCAATGTTAATAATAAGGAAATTTTATAAAATATGTTCCCTTGTGAGATCTTAGATTAATCTTTCAAGTCTTGAGATATTCTTAGTTTTATTCAATAGATCCATAGTTAGTCGATTTAAGTAGTTACTCAATCTTTCGATATATGTAGAAATGGATACATTTCTACATATGATTTAAAAATCACATTTTTTATACAGTAAATATTTAGGTCCTTATCGATACATTTATTATAAACAAACTAGAAAGTCTGTGTAATTAGTCTAAGTGCTTCGTATTGAAATTATTTTAGAATTCTGATATAAGAATTACTAACTCTTCTCTACAACTGTATTTCATATGACCACACTGGTACTATATTAGTTTTGTATAAAAGAACTTCTTAAATAAGGATCTGTGACGAATATTAAATTGATAATCAAGAAATATATTTTCCTTTCTAAGTATTGATCATTATCTAAAAATAGTATTTTAAATATTTTCATTAATATTGACAGATATTCTTCAGTTTATTTGTTTAAGGGACTTTTCCAATAGAGAGAGAAAAGGTGTAGTCTTAAGATGGTACTAAAAACTATAGTCAAAAAATTTATAGAACTGGTGTTCATGTTTTGTTGTTTTAATGAATGTAGATTTTTATTGTATAACAATAATTTTTTTCTCTCTGCGTCATTTTAAGTGATCCTTTTAACAGGTATTTATCTTTTATAGACCATATCAAAAAAACGTTCAATGTTGCCATCATTATTAACGATTTGTGAATTGGGATTTAATGAAGTTAGTTACAAATAGTACCTTTATTCTATCGTCTGCGTGACCTCTATTTTGGTTTACACTGAGAAAACCTCGCAATCTATATTTCTTTTATTGTAAAACCCCTTTTTTATTCAAAGTAAAACGTTCAAATCGGCAAATATTTGATAAATAGTTAAGGCATTCATAATAAGTAGGATAAAAAAAGTATATAATTATGTATAAAGAGGTTTTCGAAAAATAGTGAACTACAACAACAAAAATTCTTTTTTATATTATTTTAATTAATTGCATTTCTGGCTGACATACAGCTGTTTCGATTATTGCCAAATACCCATCATCAGTGGTCTTGGAAATAATTCTTGTATTTAATTATACGTAAATAGTTTTTTGAGACTGCAAGTATTATGAATCGAACTCGTGCCCTGCCAAATTTGAAACTCAGAGTCAGCGTTCATTTCCCAACTTACCCAAAGCCGTACTTGACTTTTATAATTATGTATGTAATTATATTAATCTATGTAAGAAATCTATGTAACAAAATTACTATAGTACACTAGTAGTTAAAATTCTGCATAAACCATCATTTCAATAATGCAAAATATTTGGAGTAAATTCGCTCCTACTGGGATTTCGAATCGTACGTAGCGAAGTACGCATGTGACTGAGGGGAATATATGCATCATTGGTACTAAATAATTTATAGGTATAAAAAAAATTTGAATCAAAGTAACCAGTTTATATTGTTAAAATTATTTTAAAACCAAAAATGATATAATATTATTCAAACTTCATATCTTTAAAGAAAACTACAAATAAGATATAAAAATCTTCTCCGTTTAGCTTACTTTGAATTTAAGTTTCATATATGCAAAATTTAGTGAATTGTTTTGAAAATAATTAAAAATCATGGATGAAAACGGTGAGCACGAAACTTCAAAATGTGTAGATGAAGATACAAATAAATCCCAACAATCAGAATCTTCTAAATCCTCCGCTGAAATAGTTGCGAGCTCTTCAGTTGAAAAAGAAGAAAAAGATAAAAAAAATTCAGATAAGGTGTCCCTGTCAAGTTTATTTATTGATCTTGAAGGTAGTCATACTGGCACAACTGAAACTGATATCTTGCAATTATGCGATGATGAGGAGGCTAAACAGTTCTTTGAATCTATAACTGATTATGAAACTTTATCTCAAGAAGGCGTTTCATTTAAAGAACTTGCTCAAGTTTTACGTCGTTCTAAGAAACCTGTAGCTTCTGCCAATAGTACTCAACAAGGGCAATCAGAACCTATGGGCAAGTACACTAGTGATGAAACACATTATAATGATGCATTTAAACAGATGTGGGGTGCTGGAAAAGAAAAAACCCAAGGTTCTGATACTATAGGAAGATTTACAATTGAAGAATCAAAACACCTCAAACAGGTACAAACATATGTTCGAAATCTTCTAAATGAATCTAAATCTTTATTTATTTCATTACTTATTGACTATTTAAAAAAAACATTTTTTAATATAACGTTAAACTTAAGGTTGCTACTGGGTTAACTCATGCAAGCAAACTAAAACTTCGCTCATGTTACAGCGATTCGCATGTTGCACTTAGATGTCTAAAGGGTAATGCTTTTACATTGTACTTTCAACTTGATACATTTTTTTTGTCCCCATATTTATAGATAAGGATGCAAAAGCAATAAAGACGTCTAAAAGTTCTCCCAGCATGTTTGCAGATTTGATGAACCAAACTTTTAGCCAAAAGGGTCAGCAAAGAAGTCATGTAAAGGTGGGCAGCTCTGAACCAAATGAAAAAGAAACAATTTCTTTCGATAAATCAGTATCTTCAGTAAAGCATAACCAGGACCTCAACCAGTTCTCTGCCGAATCGTCTGATGTACAAGACCCAGGAGAAACAAATTCTTACGATTCCTGGTCAAGTGTAACTAAAAATATTGCTACAAATTGTGATGATTTGTGCATTATTCATAGAAATCGTTACGTAAAAGACACTTTAGATCGAGATAATACTGATACTCTTTCTGAAACAAAATCTGATGATTCGATTATAACTGTTAAGTCTTTTGCTCAAAATGCTGAAAAGAAATTTGGGGATGAGAAAAACCCTAATCTTGTGCAACACGATGAAGAAAGTGCTGTGCCAAGTACATACCCTTATTTTAATATACAACAGGATTCTACTGACGTGTCTCGCTCCCATTCTTCTGCTTCTGGTGCTGTGAGTACTGCAGCAGTTTTTGATTCGGTCGAAAATTATGTGGTTAGTGCAACCAGCGAGGATACTGTGACGGGCCTGCAAGTAACCCCAAATTATGTACTAGAACCTTCTGAATTCAAAATTCCAAAACAAAAGGTCAGGCCAACTCCGTACGAGTACCACACAATAAATATAGAGACCATTCCAACCCCACCATCAGATGCGCACCTCCACCGTTATTCTAGATTTAATAGAATGTGGCAAATTGTTAAAGATTTTTTCACCTCGTTGTTTGTATGTTTGTCGGTAAATAGAGATTGCTTATTTTGCTTAGGATTTTTCGTTATTTTCATTATAAGCGCGTCATTCCTTACCGCTTTCTTTTACCGTACCTTGAATATCGGTGGTAGGCATGTGCATCATGTGGAACACAAACATGTTATGTTGGAGGATGGTACATTTCTTAACTTGTAGAAGGTTTGTGGAGAGCTTAAACTTTAGGAAAGAACTAACTATCGCCGCTGCTTTAAAACTATTATTTTTTTTCAATTATTTTAAATAACCACTGTTTTGAGAATGAAAGAACACTCATTTCATTCAAGCATATTTTCCAAAATTTTCAATGCTTATTAAAGTAAAATAAAAACAAACTGATATCTGCGCAATAATGAATTTTGAGAATTTGTGAATTTATAAAAAAATGACATAGCTTGGTAAAGGTAAGTGATTGTTGTTTTCAAAAGTAAACACATAAAAATCTATTTTGATAGAATTACTAAGGAATAAGCTTCCCGAGAGACATTTTGAGTTTCAAGGTAGTTTGAGTGCACCCTGTATAATGCTGGACCCTTTGAAAGCTAGCAGTCATATAACAACAGTTGATAGCTGACAAGGACTAGTATAAGACTAGTTCGTTTTATATAAAAATAAGTAGTTCTTTTAGATTGGAATGCTAACTACATGTGAATTCTGCTTTCCATTTGATTAGTCTTAAGTTGCATTTGATTTAATTGGTCTGTTAGAACCAGTTAGTGGATAGTTTATATTTTAAAACAAATTTTAAGAAACAAAAAAAGCAAATTTATTGAAATTATAATTTAATTTTATAAAGCTAGGACACCTGTTGTGCCTATTTATATGAAATCCAAGGTAATTTCAAAATAATGCATGCCATTATAGCGAATTTCATCTACAAAAATATATATCTATGTGTTTTATATATACTTTTAACTGATATGCTTGGTAGTAGATAATCAAATCAATTGCATTTGACATAACTTTTCTTTTCATAATCAAATGCTCTCAATATTGTTGACCATTAAAAAATGTAACTAATCTTTACTCAATCACTACTATTATTTAGTAGCATTTTTTGTATTTTACATAGTGACATAACAGCTAAATAAATACAGTAATTTCCAGAATAAAATTCTCTTACATGATCGGCTATGTTTTTAGTGCGAGGACACTATAAATAAACTAGGCCATAAACTCTTATTCATATTTTGGATAACAAAAGATAATCAAAATCAAACATTATTTTTGCTAATTTAAATCGATAATCAGTAGTTATAGTGGTAAGCATCCAACTAATATAATATAATATATATTAATACATAATATAATATATACTAATATAAAACATACATTAAGACCGAAAAGTTTTCGGAAATTCTCATTTAAAATTCGCGCGCTGTATATTTTTCGATATTTTAAGTTTATGTAGTTTGGCAGCAATTTAAGGACATTACTATGCCAAAAATGAGCGCGATCTGTCAGACAGTTCGTTTACGGCAGCTGTTGAAACCAGTTCACCTCAGTAGTGCGTTGCGAAAAAAACAATGGAAAAAAATATTGAACAAAGAGTTTGCATCAAATTTTGTGTTTCGAACGAAATTTCGTGTGCAGAATCGTTGCGAATGCTACAAAAGGCTTATGGGGAATCAGTTTTATCGAAAACTCAAGTTTATGAGTGGTACAAAGCCTTTCAGGACGGTCGTACGACCGTCGAAGACATTTCGCAACGCACTACTGAGGTGAACTGGTTTCAACAGCTGCCGTAAACGAACTGTCTGACAGATCGCGCTCATTTTTGGCATAGTAATTAAGGACAGTGCTGCCAAACTACATAAACTTAAAATATCGAAAAATATACAGCGCGCGAATTTTAAATGAGAATTTCCGAAAACTTTTCAGTCTTAATGTATTAGAAATTATTTGCCAAAAATTATTTTAGGTAAAACTTATTTTTGATCATTGTATTAGACTAATAAATCTTTCTAACTTACACTTAATACACTCGGTTTGATTATAAAAGAAGTCTTATACTTTCTTAAAATCAAACAAGATCTCTATTTAATATTATAATATCTAAATATTATATTATAGTGTTTGATCTCATCGTATTTATAAGTATAGATATCAAATAATGCAGATCTCGTTACTTTTCCATAGAAACGCATTCTTTATACCATTTCATGTACTTAACAAAGCATACGAGTACTACTTAATGTAAAAATAATCAATAATTGTACTTAAAATAATCTTCTAGAACCTCGTCGCATTACAAATCCACACTGTGGTGCAGATTGGCAACCCAACAAATCGGCAATAAATGCAATGATGCAGACTGTACGTCCTGGAGGTATAATAAGATAATATTTAAAATATAAATAAAATAAGAAATTATATATATTAAATGGATAATAGTTTCGGTTTTGAAGAACATGGTGAGTGAACGGTAAATCTTAATCGGCTTGAAATATCTGTGGTGTTTGATTAGGGATTAGTAGACTAATCTTGCGCTAGATTGTTCGGGCATATTCAGAAATAACAGCTAAAAATATGTAATAGTTTCTATATAAACATATATAAAAAGGTAGTTAAGTATCTGTGTGTGTCTATTTGAACTCGAATTTTCCATTTTTTACAATTGTGGAGAGTGATCCACTTTTAATAAATAAAAACTAATTTTTTAAAACATAACATTAATATGATATTAATATAGAACACTATATTTTTTTTAATATAAATTCATAATTTTGTTTATATCCCGTCATTTCAATTACGATTTACTTACGATAAGCTATGCTATTTTTTATAAAATTTATTACCGTGGATCATTTTACTACAGGACAATCCCGTATCCAGCTTTATTTAAATACACTATTCGAAAATCTAACCATGTTATGTCATTTACAGCCTTTACATTTAGTATGTAACCCTTTGGCATTGTAGGTGCGATGTTTTTATGTGTAAAGTTTATTTGTTCTCTAATATTTTCCCTTCAATCTGCATTTCAATGCAATTATCTTTCCAGATAGTTTTTGATCATGTTTAGTAATTCCCTCTTACACTACAATCTCTCAAGAAAAAGCCTCACTCACTCACGCTTTACCGATAAATTATTCTAATCAACTACAAATAATCCTTAATCCAACCAATCTTTTATTGAAATTTGGGTACTATTATCTGTGTCAACCTTAAGGAATTGTGTTATCCCCAATAGTTTTTCCGATAAGATCCGATAAGACTACTTCCAGGCGTTTATTATTTCCATTTCTCATTCTCTTTCTTATATAAAAAAAATATTCTTGATAATTTGGTTTTGCGCTAATTGGTTAATTATAAAATAATAAACATTTAGAGTACTAGTACCCTGAAGATGTCTATAGAATATGGTCGAAATATTGGTGCAAATAAAAAATTTTTCAAAATTCATTTTTAAAAAAAATGTATTCCTCAACAATTGGCGAATGAATCCGTTCTAAAAACAAAATTATTAATAAAAACTGTAGTCGTTAACTCAAAATATTCTTTCAAAAAATAGAATATTCTTTCAATTGAAGACAGCGCTAGAAAGACTAAGAAATATTTCAAAACTTTTAAAAATTTTTATAGTCATAAGACGGAATTATGTTTAATATGTTTTTTTTTTTTTGCGTTGAAGTATTTACGTGCAACCAGGTGCCTGACTCTAGATATATCATCAAATTCTGGTTCATAGTCATTGCAGAAACCTGAATGATAATTTACATTCACCTCCTGACCTTCTCATAGTCATTGTAAAAACTTGAATAATAATTTACAGACACCTTCTGAAATAAAATGATATTTAAATTTTTGCAAAACGGTCGTCATTGTCTGAGTTTTGTTTTAATGAAAGCGTGATTTTCTCTATTTTGATTCTTTTCGTGATTTAACTGTCGCACTCTTATGTTCTATTCTGGACACGTGTTGGAAATATTAGGATTCCTCACCAGTTGCAATCGCTAATATATACAAGTTTTCTGAGTCATTTTCAATATAACCTTGTAATACGACTGCCGTTCTTTTTGATCTTATGTCAGAGTATGCAACATAAATTGCCCACAAAGATGTTCAATTTGATTGAATCTTGTGTCAAAATTAGATGAACCTTGCCTGGTAGCCCAGTTTTTTCTTCGAGAAGTTTCACAAACATATTGGGAGCTCTCTGCAAATGTTTTTTTGCGAGTACTTTCTCTATAATTTTACTTTCTCTAAAATTTGTTCATTGCGGGTAGTTCTTGGTTAGTGGTGATCGGTTATTGTCGGCAAGGTCCTTACAACCTTTACGGATTTAGCGAAATCTATTAAAAGATTATGGAGTTATGTTGCAATACATTTTTCTAAACATTTCGTTGTTATCTGTAATATCTTTACACAATTTAAAACTCATGAATTGAGTTTTTTTTTATTTTTATCTTTATTTTTTTTCCAAGTAATATATTTAATATGACATTACATTTTCTAAACTTCAGGTCACAGCGTAATGATAAACGAATTCGTTAAAATTTTGATAGCAAATAAACAAACTATGTATCATCATTCACTATTTATTTCAATTAAACCAAAAAAATTTGATTTAATATTTAATTATTAATATTTTTATTTTTTAAACATTCTATACAAATTTTTATTCAAGGGGCACAAATGTATGTATGTATGTTGATCCTTTTTTCGAGTCAGCGCAAATGGGTAGTTTTACTCTTTGATAGCTGATGGTACTACAGGGTTCCACCCATCTCATTTACTAATTTATGTATTGCCTATAAGCTTCATGATTATTCAGTGATTGATCTAAGATCTGCGTACCTCCCCGTGTGGCGGGGGATTACTCTAAGATTAGATAGCGGTAAGTAGGATAGCCTGAAAATTTTCGCATATAATTTCAGGGCTCTGCCCCTTATGTATTTTTTGATCGGGTCTATTCCAAGGTCTTTTAGCATGTCGTTTGTGCGGACGTACCAAGTCACTTTTAAGAGCCTTCGGAGTGCCTGACTTTGAGCAACTTGTAGCTTTTGTATAGTAGAGTAGATTAAAGGATTATTTTAATTGATTACAGATATTTATATATTTATCTTTAAATATTATATATAAATATATACATTTATATATCATTATAATATTTAATGATATTTATATATCATTTCATTGATTATAAATATTTAATTAAATTAAGAAATATATATAAAAATTTAATTATTTCAGAAACTTTTATTAATGATTTTTTTATTTTTATGTATTTTATGTAAACTTTTATAAAGTTTTATATACAAATATTTTTAAGTCATTGAATATTAATTATACTAATTAAAATAATTTATTTTAATATCTATTAGTTTATTAAACAATT